TCCACCGAAACCCCCAGCAGCAGGGTCCGCATGCGTCTCCCCGTTCAATTACGGCGCACCCTCACACGCTTCGTGCCCCCATAACGAGCTCCACCGAAGGTCCCAGTGGGATGGTCCACATGCGTCTCCCCGCCCCTTTCCGGCACACTCCTCGCACGCCTCGTGCCTTTATAAGGGGGCTCCACCGAAGGCCCCGGAGGGAGGGTTCACATGCGTTCCCTGGCTCCATATCGCCACACCCCTCACACATTTCGTGGCCCCATGGGGATCTCCACCGAAGGCATGATGGCCTTATTGGCAAGGCCTCGCCGTTGTCGGTCGTCGTACCTCGTCGTCGTCGAACGCCGTAAGAGCAGGCGGAGGATGACGATCCCGACGGCGATACTCACGACGACGGCTCTCACAACTGCATATGGCTGGGCCCTTCGCCAGGCTACTTGCTTCTTAGCGTTTTCAAAGCCTGTTGCGCTCCATCGTGATCAGAGCCCGCCGCGGACGCACACCGTGGGCTTCCGGGCCTGTCTCGCACCGGTGTCGGACCCGTGTCAGAGCGCCTCTTCACCGCTCTCAGCCCTGCGCACGGAGAGCAGATTCGGCCCCCGCCCCATCGGTGGATGTCACGGCGAAGCAGGAGACGCTAAGCAAGCATAGCAAAAACGCAAGATAAGCCAAACCCCAAATCCGCCGACCCCGCCAGCGTTTGTGAGGCGTTTTTCCCTTTGAGTCGTCGTCGTCGCCGTCGCCGCTCCCCCCGTTTCCCGGGCCGTCCTCCCCGAGCGACCCACACCCCGGCAGCATAGATCAGACCACGCCGTGACTGATTCGGAGGGAAGCCCCTCCCCTCCGCTCCCTTCCCCGGCCGGCGTGGGGGTACAGGCCTCCTAGAGAGGGGTCGGAGTAGATGGGGTCGGAGGATTGCGCCGCATCGCCGGTACATCGGCGATGCATCGGCGATGTATCGGCGAAGCATCGGTGATGCACCGGCGATGCATCGCCGACGTGGGCGATGCATCGGCGAAGCCGGCGTGGAGAAAATCGGGCTCCGCATCGAGCCGCGTCCTGAATACATCGGAGATGCGGCGCGATCCTCCGACACCATCTACTCCGACCCCATCTAGTAGGAGGTCTAGAGGGGGGGGGGGGTCTGGGGGGAGTTGGCGCGGGGCGTCCTTGGGGAGGGATGGCGCGGGAGGGGACCCCGGGGATTGTGACCTCCCCTTGCCGTCGATCGGACGTCCATTCCCCGTGCATTTTTCGGTTTCGTGCGTGCTTTTTTTGCTCGATGGTCCAGGATGCTCCTCGATGGTTCTCGCCGAGAACAAATGCACACGTCCGAGCGATGCCGAGTCCCTGGCCCCCTGTGGACGAGGGGGACAGGGCGGTGACGCGCTCTATCCCTCCCCTGCCTTCTCCCTGTGGACATGGGGGCCGCAAGCCCCCCCCCCCTTCCCGGATCCCTCCCCCTCCCAGAGCCACCCTCCTCACTCTTATCTGCTGTGGCGGGGTGCTGCGTCTTTTCACGCATGCCTCCAGGAGTCCAGGAGCCCTCAGCTCCGCTCCGAGGCGGCTACAAGTTGCCACAGAGCATCCCAAGAAGTCCCCCAAGAGGCCCCCCAACAGAGCTAAGAGAGCCCCAAAAAGGGCTCGACAGCGTCAGCGTCGTCGTCGTCGCCGCCGCCGCCGTCGTCGTCCCCCTTCAGGGTCGGCGGCACCAGCCGTAAGGCCTCCCCAATAGAAGACCAACGAAAAACGCCCAGGGCCTTTCGGGTCCTAGGACTATAACAGATCGATCCAGCTCGAAACATGCCGCAAGAAGATGGGGTCCACAGTCGGGAACTTTTGCTTAACGTGTTGCGGCGCCAGCTCTGGCGACACGCTATGCCTTGCAAGCGGATAGCGTGTCGATCCGCTCCGCGGGGCGGGAGGCTGGGAACAGATCGGGACGTGGACGCTCGGGGATTTTGAAATGGATAGCGTGTCGCGCCGAAGCGCGGTGGGCCAGAACTGGTGGAGTGACACGCTGAGTCAAAATTCCTGACCGTAGTCCTATGTGCTGATGTTGGAGACACACGTCCGACACGAGCATACCGTACAGACCGACAGGCGAGAGAAGGAGGGGAGCGAGGAGGTCTCCTTCCTCTCCTCCTCCTCCTCCTCCTTCCGCTTCTCTTCCTCACCTTCCTCCTCCTCCTCACCTTCCTCCTCCTCCTCCTCCTCCTCCTGCTCCTGCTCCTGCTCCGCCTTCTCCTCCTGCTCTCTCCCTCCTCCCCCTCCTCCTCCTCCTCCTCCTCCTCCTCCTCCTCCTCTTCCTCCTCCTCCCCCTCCTCCTCAAACAACGACGGGCCGCTGGTCCCCCCTCCGCCGTCGCCGTCGGCGTCATCGTCACTCTCGCCGCCATCGCCGTAAGCGTCGGCGTCGCGGCCGCCGCAGCCGCCGCCGTCGGCGTCGGCCTTGCCGCCGCCTCCGACGCGCGTGCGAGGGCTGCGGGTGCGCTCGCCTTGGGAGCGCCTTCCTCGGAGGGCCCCTCGGAGAGGCCTTCCCTGGATGGGGGGGGGGAGGAGGAAGAGGAGGAGGAGGAGGAGGAAGAGGAGGAGGAGGAGGAGGACTACCGCTCTAATGGGAGGTTGTATAAACACCTAGCTAGGTCCAAAAGTTGCTTCCGAGGACTTGTGGCCTGTGGTGTGCGTCCCACTCAGGATGAGGTCGAAGAGGCTCGGGCTACCCGGCGTTGTGAGCAGCAGGCCAACAGGGCCAAGGGGTTGACGGATGATTTCGCCCATTTGCCCAGGGTTCGCATGATTGGGCCAGTCAGAGGGGTCCGTGTCTTGGAGGTAGAACCCCTCGTGGTCGAGCCTGTGGCCCCCCCCCGCCTCCTCCTGTCCTTCCTGCCTTCTCTCCTGCTCCGCCCCCCTCGCGCCCTTTCCGCTTTCTTCTCCACCTCTTCTCGGGCCAACGGCGTGCTGACGACTTGCAGGACTGGATTGAGAGACTTGTTGCCCAGTATCCCACCCCGGTTGTTGTGCTCTCTATTGATATTGCTAACAGTCCCAAGTATGGTGATTTAAGTGATGTTTCCACGGTTGCTTATTGGTTACGTCTTATGGAGCAGGGGTGGGTTGCTGGGGTTATCGCAGGCCCCCCCTGTGAGACTTGGAGTGCTGCTCGCCATAACCCTGTACCCCCCGAAGCCGTTGGGCCTCACCCTCGGCCACTGAGGGCGCCTAGTGAGCTCTGGGGGTTAAAGTTCATCACTCCCAAGGAACGAGAACAGGTCGGGGTGGGGAATGCCTTGCTAAGAACCACCATTGAATTTCTGATTTCCGCTTGGAAGCTTGGGCTACCAGCGATCATGGAGCACCCCGCCCCTGCCGAGCATCGACCTAATGTTCCCAGCAGTTGGCATCTCCCTATCCTTTCAAAGTTGGCCCGACAGGTGGGGGTCAAAGTACACAGGATTGACCAGTGCATGTTTGGGCTTTGTGTGAAGAAACCTACGGCCTTGATGGGTGTTCATGTCCCCAGGCTCAATCTGATGATTAATGAGCTGCCGCACCAGGGGAGATGCCAACACAATGCGCACGTCCAGGTCCTTCAGGGCCGAGTTTCTTCTGGGGCTTGGCAGACTGCGCGGGCCAAAACATATCCCTCGGAGATGTGCCGTTTGATGGCCATGAGCGTTTTTGTCGCTATCCAGGACCAGTTCGGGCCCGATCCTGGACCGCCGCCTTGGGACCTCGGGGAGGAGTTTGAGCCCTTCTTTGTGCCCCTGGATCCCTTCTATGATTTCAGGCGTGGTCGTGATTTCGCCCAAGTGACACCACCATCTCCCTCCTGACAAGCACATGGTGTGCGCGGCACCGCTAACTCTCGCAGTACCCTCGGGGAAGGTTTGTGTTTGACTGTTTTTTTGACGCCTGGGGTGTGCGCGGCACCTTAACTCGCTGTCCAGGTATGTCACGTTTCGCTGGCGGTGTGCGCGGCACTCTAACTCGCAGTAATCAGGTGAAGGTATCTTTTTCGATCCTCAGTGGGGGGATCAGTAACCTGATGAATGGCCAGCCCGTCCCTGACTACATGTTGGTGGCGCCCTCCCCCAGTGGCGTTACTCACTAAGCTGCCGTACGCCTGGGATGTTCTACCTGCCCACGTCAGGATCGGGGCATTTAAAGTGGCCGTGATATGGTGGTGGGATCGAGCTTTGGACATATGGGGGGGGGACTTCAGTTTCACCCGAGAGGCCTGCCCGCTGCCGCGATCGCTGCCTCGCCGCTTTTCTCTCTGCCATCGCTGCTCTCTTCTAGCTTCGTTTGGGATTCAGACTCATTCCCTTATGGCCGACCGACCGAGGAGGAGGAGGAGGAGGAGGAGGAGGAGGAGGAGGAGGAGGATGAGGAGGAAGCGGAGGAGGAGGAGGAGGAGGAGGAGGAGGAGGGAGGAAGAGGAGGAGGAGGAGGATAGGAGGAGGAGGAGGAGGAGGAGGAGGAGGAGGAGGAGGAGGAGGAGGAGGAGGAGGAGGAGGAGGAGGAGGAGGAGGAGGAGGAAGGAGGAGGAGGGGGAGGAGGGGAAGGAGGGGGAGGAGCAGGAGGAGAAGGCGGAGGAGGAGGAGGAGGGGAGGAGGAGGAGGAGGAGGAGAAGGAGGAGGAGGAGGAGGAGGAGAGGAGGAGGAGGGGGAGGAGGGGAAGGAGGGGGAGGAGCAGGAGGAGAAGGAGGAGGCGGAGGAGGAGGAGGAGGAGGAGGGAGGAGGAGGAGGAGGAGGAGGAGGAGGAGGAGAGGAGGAGGAGGAGGAGGAGGAGGAGGAGGAGGAGGAGGGAGGAGGAGGAGGAGGAGGAGGAGGGGAGGAGGAGGAGGAGGAGGAGGAGGAGGAGGAGGGAGGAGGAGGAGGACAGGAGGAGTAGGAGGAGGAGGAGGGGGGAGGGGGAGGAGGAGGACGAGGGAGAGGAGGAGGAAAAGGGGCCCCGCAACGCGGAAGGCGGGGGGGGGTGCGCGCGGGGGCGGCGGTCCTCCTTGCCGCCGGGGGGGGCCGCGCTCGGGGCACGGCGGAAGCGGGGAGTCAGGGCCTCGGCCACGCCCTGCGCCGCCTCAGCGCCGACGACGTAGGCGACGACGATGACGACGCCGACGACGACGCCGACGACAACGACGGCAACGACGACGACGGAAGCGGCTACGGCGACGGCGACGGCGACGACGCCATCGCCGTCATCGTGGTTGTCGGTGTGAGGTTGGGCGCCGAAGCGCGAGGAAAATATGTCGAAATAGGTTGAACGACGCCAAGCGTTTGGCGAAAATCTTCAATCGCACGATGCGAACCCCACCAGCCTTCTGGGCGTAGGTGGTCTAACGTATTTCCTCTTCCCCCTCCTCATAAAAATTCACACATGATATACTCGAGCATAACTTATTTCCACTACCATCCCCCTTGGACACTCTGCACGGACCCTGCAATACCCTGCAGCCCCCTCCCCGAGCCAAAGAAAACTACCATCACCAAGGGCCCTGCAAAAACCCGGAAACGGCCTTGCCGTACCCTGCAAGCCCTTGGGGTGCCTTGAAGCTTGTGCCACGAGCCTGCAACAACCTGGTTTACTTTGAAAACCCCTCGAGGAGGCAAGGCTGGTACGAGCACGGCCCCAACACGGCCCAACACAGCCGCCGTGGCATGGGAGCATTTGGTGAACCATTCAAAATATTCGCTCCCTCCCTCATTCTGCATTCCCGCCGCGTTTCCAATTCGGTTGTTGTTTTCCGACGCATGCCACCACACTTTCGGGGCCATGGCAAACAGGCTGGGCACCATTGTTTGATGTATTCGGTGTTCCACCGATCCCTTTGGGGCGGCTGTCCCATTTCATGCTGCGACTCTTGCCTGACCAATGCAACTTGCATGTTGTTCGTGTCTGAATGGGCGGCGGGGATGCGCAAAGCGTCCAGAATTCGCGCCCCCCCCGAACCAAGTTCCAATGGACAGGACTACAGCGTCCATCACAATGGATCTCTGAACTCTCTATGCGCAGCGCAATCTGTGCATGGTGCAACGTATGGGTTGCAATTGACTACCCTGCACCGAGATTGACCGACTCCGCTGCTCGAGCAAACATCCCACCCTCCCGTCGGCAGCTTGTCTGGCAAAAACCATGATGCGGGGGACGGCGGCGCCACCGATGACGACATCGATGATACCATCCTCACTGCCGGTGCTCGCCACCGTGAGTCGATGATGAAGATGATCATATCGACAATACTCGGACGTGCGCGATGACAAGGTGACGTCGGCAACGTCTGCGACAATGGCGAAGATGGCACCATGGACGACGATGTTCAAGACGGCGACGGCACGAACGAGAACGGCGCCAATGATGGCAAACACGCTGACGATGCTGATGTCCATCTGTCGATGAGGCAGGCAATCGCGGTGATGCTGACAAGGTTGACAAGGAAACCCGCGCGCGCGGAATCTCAACAAATCCGTCAGGCTGATCATGCGCACGCGGCGGTGCGCGCATGTGGTCCGCGGGTTTGTTTGCAAGGAATTCGCGCCCTCGGCACATGCAGGAGTATCGCGGGTGCGCTGTGCGGTGACATGAAATCGCTGGATTTGGCAAAATTCATCAGAATCCCACGGTTTTTGTATGAGATAGCATTAGCGCGCGGATGAGAATTTTGCAAAAAAGCAGCTTGTTCAATATAGGATGTTCTGTTGAAGTGCGTGCAACCACACTGTGTGTGCTTGGTACGGTTTTGACATGGACGCGCGCGTTCTGATGTCGTGGCATTTTTTGGCAAAGGATTTTTAAGCACTTATTAATTTTGATAAACGAGTTCGCGCGCATCGTATTTTTTGCAGACGATGGCGGGTGGGGGGTGATACCACCGCTTTGGTTGGGATGCTATGGATGCGTATGTAGGATGGACGATGAGGCAGAATCGTATGTAAATTGCAATGCGAAAGTGGGGACCGTCAACTCCGGGGGGGGTAAGGTCTACTTTTCTATTAAAGAGGAGAGGAGAATGTATACTATGCTATGTGGATGATGCAATTCGAGGACGTGGTGCAATATGTATTGGGCAACGTGTGCGGTGCGAGCTATCTGGTCCTATTTTTTGTCAACTCAAGAACTGTCGACCCCAATGCTCGCGCAATCATCCCACCCTCCCACACGCAACCTGCTTGGCAGAACCCGCGCGGCCACGACACGACTATGGCTGCCGATTGGCACTTGCTAGCACAGGTCTGCGGCCGCGCTGGTGCGCGAACGCTCGCGGGCAAGACGACCAACGACGAGCAGGTTTGGCACAGCTGATGCGGCCGCGATGGCGCATACCGATGGGAACTCCCCAGCACGTCTCAAAGGCCGCGCTGGCGCGCAGGCGCTCCAGTGCAGGTCGGCCGCTCGGGCGGGCGCGGTATCATGACCCCGAGAAGAGCCCAAGAGGCCCCCTGTGGGCCCTACCTCCCAGGATGGCCGCCCATGCCGCCTCCAAGCCACCAGGAGACTCCCAAGAGGCCCCCAGATGCCTCCGAGGTGTCCCCAGGAGGCCCCCAAAAAACTTCAAAGAAGGGCCCCAACAGGCCCAAACAGGTCTTCCAAGGCACCACAAGGCCTCTTGTGCGCAACCCAGGCACGATGGTGAGAAGGGTCGGGAGCCATTTGAATCTAATCTCCCTGATCCGCCGACCCCCGCTTGCCAAGGGCGCAAGTGCGCGTGAGATGATTGGCGGTCCCCCTCCCCCGTTCCCCATCCTTGGGGTCTGAAATCCCATTAGAGGGGGGGGGCCGGGAAGGGTGGGTGGGTCTTCGAACTCACCAACGTCACCCCAGGGCCTCCGGAACCTCCATTCCCACCCTCTGTTGCCCCCCAAACTGCGTCAGAATCGGCGCATGTTTGCTTAAGCAGGGTCCCGACAAGCACAGGAGTCCTGGAAGACGACCAAGATAGCCTCTGACCGCCCAAGAAGTCTCAAAGACGCCCCAACACATCGCCGCTCCGAAAGTTTCTTGAATTTTCTCACTTGGGCGTGGTGGCATTTTGTGCTCGCCTACGTTGCACCCCTCTTGGCAACAGCCCCGACGGGGCTGAGGGGCAGGATGCGTTGAACCCCCCTCCCCCCTTAGAAGTCCTGCAAAATACTCCTCTTGCGTGGTCTCGGCGGGATCCTTGGCGAGTAGTTCCACTTGTTAATTATATAGTTTGAGTCCAGCCAGCCATATATCCTACCCATAAAAAAGGTTCCGGATAAATCCTGCGGGGGGGGCCCAATCCCGCCAACGTATGACGTCTTCGGGTCGTCTTGAGGTCATCTTGAAATCATCTTCGAGTCATCTTAAGATCATGGTGTTGTACTCGGGGAGTGCTCGGGCCACCTCGGTCGGGGTCGCTCTGGGGCCACCGCGCCTGGTCTCCAGGGCATATCTCACATCTTGAGCCACCTTGGATTCGCCCCCCGGCCATGTCGACGCTGCGTCTGGATCCTGCAGAGCCACGGGGTCTTCTTGGGGTCGCCCCGAGGTCATCTTCGTGCCCGTCTGAGGCCGTCGTGGAACCATCTTGGGGCCATGGGGCCGCCCAAGCTCTTGTCTGGGTCGTCTGGAGGTCTTCCGTGTTTCCAAGGACACTGTCGTTACGCCTAAGTAGGGCTCTAAGACGACCCCCGAGAGGGCCCCAAGAAGCAATCATCGTCAAAATCCGGTTAGAAAATGTATGACTTGAACATATTCGCGCGTTTGATCTCAACAGCGTCTAAGACGACGCAAGAGTCCCCCATGATCGCTCCAAGACGGCCCACGAAGCCCCAAAGACGGCCGAAGTGGATCCCAAGACGGCCCAAGAGGCGCCCAAGATTGCCCAGGAGAGCTCCAATGGGGCCCCAGAAGGGGCCCAACAAAGGCAACTCGAACTGACATTCCGAGCCCTCCGCCCCAAGAAGACCCCCGGAACAGCCAGCACGCGCCCACAAAACTCCCAAGAGGCCCGAAGAGGCCCCCAAGAGGCCCAAAGGAGGCCCCCAAGAGGCCCCGAAAGGCCTCACCCCTTGACTTCATCCCTCTTTTGGGGGTCGGTGGAATGGCGTAAGCCTCTTGAATGTGTGCTCTCTCGACTGTGTGTGCTCTCTGCTCTGGGAGCCCTCCCTGCCGCCCGCCCATCTTCGCCATGTCGCTGGCATGGGCCCCAGGACCTGGAACTGGTAACCGGGTGACCCAGCCGCAAACCGACACCGGCGGGAAACTTCTGCTAAACCATCCGAGCATCCGCGAGCTCCCTTTTCACTGCAAGCACTGCTTCGGGAAACAACGTCTCGAAGGCCCCTGGAGGAGGAGGAGGAGGAGGAGGAGGAGGAGGAGGAGGAGGAGGAGGACCAGTGTAAACCCAACACTCATCAACGATGTTGGAATGAACCCTCCCTCCAAGCTCCCTCTTCATAGGCCACTACAACGGTTCATTTCCATTGAGGGAACTGCCTCGTTGGAAGACAACCGTTTCAAGATCTTGAAGCAGGCCAAAAAACATTTCAACGCCACATATCAACCTGACTGCTGCGTTCTGGCGATCCGGAATCTCGCCATACCGCCATTTTTTGATTACAACACCGCGAATCAACAGAACTGTTGCGCCAACAAAATTATGAATCCATCCAAAACGCAATGTTTGGAAATCCGTGAAACCCTTGCATGTGTTGAGAAAGAATGTGCGCGGCGCTGAGGCGAGAGCCACATTTTGGAAACCACCCGCCCTCAATCCTTGAAGCTCTTACAACTTTGTACACAGAACGCGCGGCGCTGGGGCGAGGACCACATCTTGAAAACCACCCGCCCTCAATCCGTGAAACCCTTGCAAATTTTGAATTGACTGTGCGCGGGCGGCGCTAACGCGAGAGCCACATTTTGAAAACCACCCGCCCTCACTCCGTGAAGCTCTTTCAATTTTTACAAAAGAATGTTCGCGGCGCTAAAGCGAGCAATTTGAAAATCACCCGCCCACAATCCGTGAAACTCTTGCAACTTCTAGAAAGAATGTACGCGGCGCTAACGCGAAGAGCCACATTTTGAAAACCACGGGTCCTCAATCAGAGAAACCCATGCAATCTTTAAAGAATATGTGCGCGGCGCTCACGCGACAACCACATTTTGAAAACCACGGGTCCTCAATCCGTGAAGCTCTCTGTTTAAAACGAAGGTGCGCGGCGCTAGAACGAGAGCCACATGTTGAAAACCATCAGCCCTTAATCCGTGAAGCTCTTTCAATTCTGTACGAAAGGGCGAGAACCACAGTTTGAAGCACAGTTTGAAAACCACCCGCCCTCAATCCGTGAATTTCTTGCAAATGTTTGAAACGAATGTGTGCGGCGCTAAGGCGAGAACCACATGTTGAAAACCACCCGCCCTCAATCCGTGAAACTCATGCAACTATTTAAACCGAATGTGCGCGGCGCTAACGCGAGAGCCACCTTTTGAAAACAACGGGTCCTCAATCCGTGAAGCTCTTCCAAACTTTTGAAACGAATGTGCGCGACGCGGAGGCGAGAGCCACGTTTTGAAAACCACCCGCCCTCAATCCGTGAAATTCCTGCAATTCTTAGAAAACGAATATGCGCGGCGATAGGGCGAGAGCCACATTTTGAAAGTGACCCGCCCTCCATCTGTGAAGCTGCTGTCACCTTTTAAGCTTCAGAATCATAAATAGTGAGGACATCTCAGGCGAAACGCCCGGCCCGAAAACTGGCCTCGGGGTGCGACAGGGAGGGGTGATCTAGACGGAGAAGTGATGGAGGAGGAGGAGGAGGAGGAGGAGGAGGAGGAGGAGGAGGAGGAGGAGGAGGAGGAGGAGGGGGGGGGAGGAGGGAGGAGGAGGAGGAGAGGGAGGAGGAGGAGGAGGAGGAGGAGGAGGAGGAGGAGGAGGAGGAGGAGGAGGGGAGGAGGATGAGGAGGAGGCTGAGGAGGAGGAGGAGGAGGAGGAAGACGCCTGGCCTTTTCCCATGCGTGGGGCCCTGGAACTCTCGATCTCCCCTTCCACAAAAGGTTGTTTTTCTTGTCCCGAGGCCTTCCCTGATGTCCGCCGACGTGCTGCTTCAATCCGCGGCCCACGGGTCCCGACTGCTTCCCTGTGGGTTGAACCCCGTCCCGGGTCCAGTTTTGGTGGCCCCAGGCCCCCCCAAAACCGCCCCCGAGGGATGATATCGAATGAGAACACGCTCGGATGTTTTACACTCGGCCGCCCCGATACGCAACATGCAAACCGTAGCGTTTTGACACGGAGCTCAGCACGCAGCTCGAAAGCGTACGCCCGGCGCGGCACGTTCGCCAAAACGTGGGCCAACACGTGGAGCCAACACGCAACGTGTTAACACGGAGGTTCTGAACACGGGGCGTGTGGCGTTTCGAAGCGGGCGTATTGGGGCAGCTGAGCTTTTACATGGCAATTTCTGGAAACCGTGAACCCACACGTGTTGCCATCTCTTGGGGACGCATGTGTCATCTCCGCCGCCTCACCTTCCCCCGCCCTTCCGCCGGCTTCCGCCGGCGGAGGCGGCCTCGCTCTACTTCCGCCGACCCTCCACCGAGGAAGAGATGGCAGCCCCTTTCGACCCTTTCGACCCTCCACCGAGGAAGAGAAGGCAAGGCCCTTCTTGGAACGCCGCACCTCACCTCGTCGTGGATCTGGGTTCTGGAACGGCCCCGCGGCCCGACGCCAGCCTCCCGAGGCCCCAACAAAAAAAAAGGGCCCCGGGCGGGCCGCCCCGTCCTCGCTGTGCCCGAGGCGGCCCCGCGGTCGCGCGGGGGCCTCCCGAAGGCCCTCCCCGCCCCCCCTCCTCGAACGTGGCCCCAGCGCGCAACCCAGAAAAGTTGGGCATTCCTCCTCCTCCTCCTCCTCCTCCTCCTCGTGCTCCTCCTCCTCCTCCTCCTCCTCCTCCTCCTCCTCTTCTTCCTCCTCATCCTCCTCCTCGTCCCCCTCCTCCTTCTCCTCCTACTCCTCCTCCTCCTCCTCCTCTTCCTCCTCCTCTCCTCTGGGCTCTGCAGCTGCCCCCTCTGCCTCCCTTTTCTCCTGCACGGGGCTCGTCGACGCAAGGGCCCCTCCGCCTCCCTGCCTTCGCATCCTGCCCCGCTGCATCCCCGACGGCGCTGCCGCGCGCGCCTTGGCAGCAGCGTCCATGGTCTCTCGCGGGCCGGGGCGCGGGGGGTGGCTTCAGGGGCAACGATAGAGGGGGGGGGGACAGGCACAGTTAGGGGGGAAGCTTTGGCGCGGAATCGGCGATACCTCGCCGATAGCTCGTGGATAGGCTACCAATCGTGAATCCGCCCCTTCCTGTGCGGGTTGGAGCTGTCGGGCCCCTATCGGCGATCAGTGGGCGATTCGGGGTCGATGAGCATCGCAGGTGGATCGGTGGTAGACTCCCAGTCGTGAATCCCCCTTCCTGGGCGGGTTGGGGCTGTCGGACCCGCATCGGCGAGCAATGGGCGACTCGGGGTCGAGGCTTCCCCCCCCCTGTATACCTATCAACCCCTATCGTTGCCCCTGGCGGCGGGGGCGGGGACCAGAACTCGAGTATGGGATCGACTGCAGAACTGATTTACCCCCGAGACTGATGCTCTCAACGAGCCCATGAACAGTGCGTGCAATGCTAGATCTGCAAGCATTCTACTCATTCGCATGGGTCCGACGAGAAAATCAACATTGGAGTAAATAGTTGGCTACTTCGTTGAGTGGAAAGAGAGAGAGAGAGAGAGAGAGAGACACGTCCAGATGACTTAGAGCGACGTTGCGCCATCTTCGAAATCAAAATTGGAACGAAGCAACAAAGAACTTTTTGAAAAGACGAGAAACGCCAATTGAGCCACAGACGTTATCCCCTACTCGAAGAACCCACCCGCGGCACCCGGCGGCGGGACAGGAGTCGGCCCCGCCTCCCACCCTGAGGGGGAAATGTGCCGACTCAAAGCCCCTCGCGGCAGCGTGGAAGGATCCCGGCGGGAAGTTTTGATACACGACAGCAAAGTTTGGACGACAGGCTCTCGTGTTGAAAACTGAAGGTTGTTTGGGAATTGCTGGGGCTCCGTCATGCCCATAAGGAACCGAAGATCCCAGCCCCTCTGGAACCTGGCAACAATGTCGCCCATCCATGGGGATCCTCGAAGAGCGAGCTGCAGGGAACCCCAGGAGTCTGCCAGACGCTCCAGACTCCAGCAGCGCCCCAGAACCCATAGGAAACCCCAGGGAGCCCCGGGGAACCCGAAGGACTCCCAGAAAACCATGACCCCCCAAGACCCCCCGGAAACCGAAAGGAACTCCAAGAAAGCCTGAGAAGCCACGGGGTGTCCCAGGGAACCGCGGGGGGCTCCAGGACCTCCCAGGGAAACCCAGGGAGTCCCAGGAAACTCCAGGAAGCGCCATGAGACTTCAAGGACCCCCTGGGGGCCCCAGGATCCCCCACAGAACCACAGGGCAACCCGAGGAAGCCCCAGGAAACTCCAGGTAACCGCAAGGAACGCGGATTACGGACAACAAATGAAACATAGTCAAAACAGATTCAAAACTATTCCAACATCGTCTCCAGAGTATTTTTGAACTATTTTCGAATACTCCTCCTGTTGCGGAGCATGCCCGACTTAAACATAATCAGTCGCGAGCCGTCTGCGCGTTTCTCGAACTGCAGATCGAAGCCTCGAACACCTCGATGAGCACCGCGCGCCGTGAGCGCATGCCCCGTCGCACAGCGAGGCGCCACCCTTTCTTCGTGAAGCAACCTCCGCGCGAAAAAACACGTCGCGAGACCGCCGCCGATGCGACGCGCGAGTCCCCTCCCGCGCATCCGAGCGCCGCCCAGTTGCGCGAGGAATCGGGTTGGCCCCGCCGCGCGCAGCGCCCAGCGCGAAACGTAGCGTTCCGTTGCTGGTGTGGCGCGTCTGTGCCTCCGCGCTCGAAGGCTGACCAGCCGCGCAGCGACGCGTGCAGCTTCGATCGCGGCGCGAGGCCCCGACACTCACGGTCGCACGTCGAGGCTTCTGCAGATGCGGCGCGTAGCACCGTTCCCTCTCGAGGGCGCGGAGTGGGGGTAGCGTTAGGTCGGGCGTGTCCCCCTAACAGGCGGACTTTCGGCGAAAGATGAAGAATAGCCAACATCCAAATATGGTTCACAATGAATTAACAAATCGTCCCCGTACTATTTTTAACACCATTTTTGAATGTTCCTCCTGTAGAGGCACGTGCCCGACTGAATTAAGGGTAGCGGCGACGAGGGAGCCCACACTCGGCCGCAGCCGAGGCAGGCGGGGGGGGGCTGGAGGCTGGGACACGGGCGCCGAGAGGGCGCGCAGGAGGATCCCGCCCCAGACAACTTCTGGCAACGGGGGTGGGGCGCGTTCGCGCGTTCCTTGTCAGCTCTCTCTTTCCCTTCTTTTCCCTCTCTCTCTCTATCTCTTTGTCCCTCCCTCTCTATACAAGAACGGGGAGGAGGTGGAGGAGGAGGACGAGGGAGGCCTTCGAAGAGGAAGATCGAGCGCGGACGAACCTGCCTCAGCGCAAACCTGGCTCAGCCAATTCACAAAACTGAGCTGCATTTTTTGGGGCGGCTTCCCAAACCCAGCCCAGCCAACATGTCAGGGAACTTCCAGGGCCACGACCCGCTCCCAAACCCAGCTCAGCCCAAATGTGGCTCTCAACGATCCTGCAGGATCCTGCGCTCTGTCTGAGCCCCGTTTGCGCTGAACCCCGTTACCTGCCAGCTGAAAGGGGGCGGAGGATCAGGAGGAGGAGGAGGATGCGGATGATGAGGAGGCAGAACGCTACAGCTGCACAGCTTAAGTCCGATCAACGTAAAAGTGAGAGGAGGAGGAGGGGAAGGAGAAGAGGAGGGGAAAGAGGATGGGAAGGAGGAGGAAGAGGAGGAGGATGAGGAGGATGAGGAGGATGAGGAGGAAGAACGCTACAGCTGCACAGCGTAAGTCCGATCAACGAAACAGTGAGAGTAGGAGGGGGAGGAGAAGAGGAGGAGGGACTGGAGGAAGGGAAGGATGAGGAGGAGGAGGAGAAGAGAAGGGGAAGGAGGAGGGGGATGAGGAGAGGGAGGAGGAGGAGGAGGAGGAGGAGGAGGAGGAGGAGGAGGAGGAGGAGGGGGAGGAGGAGGGGGAGGGGGAGGAGGAGGACAAGGAAAAGAGCAGCAAAGACACGGACGGACGGGCAGCCCTCCGCCGCTTCTGACCTCGCCCGGTGGCGCCGCGCGGAGCTGACCCCGGAGCGAGGCCTCGAGGCGCAAACGGCTGCGGCGCCCCTGGGGGGGCCGAGGCGGGCCCACGCGGCGGGCTCCGCGGCGGGCCTTCGGCTGCCGGCGCGGAGTGCGACGGGGGCGGTCGTCGCCGTCGTGGCCGTCGTCGCCGTCGTCGTCAGTCGTCGTCGTCGACGTCGTCGTCGTCGTCCGTCGTCGTCGTCCGTCGTCCGTCGTCCGTCATCGCGATCGCCGCTGCCGTCGGCGGCGGCGGGCCTCACGCGGGCGACCACGTCGAGCCTGGGAACCCGGCGGTGGTTGCTGCCGTTGGGGTGGACCCGCCGCCCCGCGGAGCGGGCGGATGGCGGGTGGACCCAGGCCGCGGCAGCGAAGCCCGACGGGGACAGAGTAATGGAAATCTGCAAGGACACAAGCCAGAGCCAAGCGTGTGCGCGCTTCGCGCTTAGACTCTAGCAAGCACGCGCCCTCGACAACAAGACACCGCTCCACTTGAGCACGAGCTGTCTGCAAGGATGGCGCAGAAGCTGCGACGACGGGCACCCACGGAAACAGTGGGTCACCGAGGAGGGGAGAGAACTTGGGAAAAGTGGGCCGCCCCTGGGTCCAGGAACCCGATCGCTGGATATATATATATATATGTATATATATAATGTGACGTTGGAGAAGATGTGTACACACTTCTCAGCTTGTGCGTGTTATCCATGCGCAAGGGCCATGCTAATATTCTCAATGTCATTCCACTTGTAATGGATGGTTTCCGAAGGGGTTCGGGATACCAGATATCTCTATATATGTGTTCAGATGTATGTATGTATGTATGTATGTATGTATGTATGTATGTATGTATGTATGTATGTATGTATGTGTGTATGTATATATGCATGCATGCATGTGTATGTGTATGTATGTAGGTGTATGCACGTATGTATGTATGCATGCATGCATGCATGCATGTATGCATGCATGTATGTATGTATGTATGTATGTATGTATGTATGTATGTATGTATGTATGTATGTGTGTGTGTATGTATGTATGTATGTATGTATGTATGTATGTATGTATGCATGTATGTATGTATATATGTATGAATATATGTATGTATGTGTATGCATGTATGAATGTATGTATGCATGCATGCATGCATGATGTATGTATGTATGTATGTATGCATGTATGCATGCATGTATGTATGTATGCATGTATGTATGTATGTATGTGTGTACGTATCTATATATGTATATGTACACATGGGTATATGTGTATATATGTATCTCTGCTTGTGTCTGTATATATACATATATATATAACCAGAGAGAGAGAGATAGAGAGAAAGATACAGAGAGAAACCATCACGCGCGCTTCGCGCGCGCTCAGGTTCTAACAGGCCCCACGCCTTGACGAGTTCAGTGCTCCACTGAAGTAGTGGACCACAAATGGTTTGAACGGGAAGTGAAGAAGTGCCCATAACGCTGCACGCATTACGGGCAGGGAGGAGTCGATGCATGTCAATCCCCATTCTGGGAGGCTTTCGGGGAAAAGCGTTGCGTAGGGGGGGGCAGGCCTGATGAACCGGGTTCCTAGAATGCCTTCTGGGAACATGGGTTTTGGGGGCGTCTTGGGGAGCCTGTTGGGGCGTACCGTCGTCGTCGTCGTCGTCGTCGTCGTCGTCGTCGTCGTCGTCGTCGTCGTCGTCGTCGTCGTCGTCGTTGTCCTCGTCTTCGTCGTTTCGTCGTCTTCGTCGTCGGTTCAAGAGGGCACTGGGGGCAAGTTTGTGCGAAACGATCCGCGGAGGGCCGCGAGAAGGCGGTCAATCATGTTCCCAGTCAACTTCCCAGACAGCTCTCCGGCAGCGCGATAATCCATGGTACTTCGGAGCCTCCTGAGACACTCGAGCCCATGATGAGCCATGTCCTTGGAAGGGTCTCTGGGGACATGATTTGTTGGGGCGTGTTGGGGGGGCCTCTTGGGCGTTCCCTGGGGGCCCCTTCGGGGCCTCTTGGGGCTTCCTGGGGGCCTCTTGGAGGCCTCCGGGGGCCGCAAGGGCCAGAGACCTCGAAATTTTGATTCGCGGTCCCCCTCTGGGCTCCCTCTCGCCTCTTGGGGCAAAATGGGGTTGTCTGGGGAGCTTTCTGGGCCGTCTTGGGGCCCAGTTCGGGGCCTCGTGGGCCGTCTTGGAGCGATCTGAAGGGCCTCCGAAGCCGGGAGGGAGCGCCGGGAAGCAGGGAAAGCGAGAACGCCAAAATCCTTCAAACAAAAATGAGAACGCAAAAACTAATGAATTTTACCTCTAGGGCCCTCCTGGGGAGCCTCTTGACTTCGTCCTGGAGCGCGTTGGAGTCCTCGCCGGCCGTCTTGAGAGCATCTTACGCGTCTTCGGGGTCTCTTGGGACTGTCTTGGGCTCTCTTGGGACCCCCTTAGCCTGTCGTGGCTTGTTTCGGGGCGGGCCCGGGCCGTCTCGCGAGCTCTGTGACCCCGGGGGGGCGCCCATGGGGGGTACAAGCAGCGGCCCAGCCCCTCCCACTGGCCTGCTCCGATATACACATACATGTGTATATAAACCATGAATTTGAATAGTGTATATGGTTTATACATATTTCTGTGTATATATATATATATACATATATATATATATATATATATATATATATATATAATACCAGACTGCATTGGCGCTTTGCGCCATGCACCTTGGTCCTTCGAATCGAGCATAAATGCCTGTTCGCCTCATCCATGTTGGCCTTGAAGTGCGGCAAGCTCATTTAGGATTGCGTTTGGAACTGAATTTTGAAGCGGCCCCTGCAACGTGGCGGCGAGAGAGCGGAGGCCCCGAAAGAATAGAAAATCACAGGAAAACCTGAAGTGTCGGTACGGGAAAATGTTAAAGCCGAAGGCTACGGATGCATGTACACAACGAGCGTGGAGGTAAAAGAACACGGGCTCAGCTGTAAGAAATACGCACGTGGGACACCGAAATCGACATAATGCAGGTTTCGCGACGCACGTGCCTCACGGGAATGTCGCGAAACTGGGATTCGGAGATTCTGGGCCCTCTTGGAGCTCTTTTGGATTGTTTTGGGGCCCTGTTGGGCCGTCCTCGGAACTGTGGGATTTGAGGGGCCTTCTGAAGCTTTCGGCCCTTTGGAAGTTCCATTGGCTTTTTTGGACGACTTCCATGGCCGTGTGGCGTGTCTCTTGGGAGCCTTTTGGGGGCCTGTGGGGATCGCGTGGTACGCCTCTCGGGCTTTTCTGGGAAGCTGGTGTGAAGCCTCTTGGGAGTCGATTTGAAGCCTCATGGGGTCTTTTTGGGGCTCCTGGGGGCCGATTGGAGCCTCTCGGAGCCTCGTGGGGGTGTGTTTGGGCGCCTCTTGGGGTTTTCTTAGGCCTTCTTGGGGCTCTCGTGGACCGGAAAGCTAGATCTTGGGATGTTTGGTCGCCCGCTGGGGCCTTTTTTGAAGCTTTATCGGGGCCTTGAAGCCAAAAACTTCGAAAAACACCATGGGGTATCAACAATTGTGGCCTCTTGGGGCCTCTTCGGAAGCGTCTTGGAAGCTTCCCGCTAGCCCACTGCAGAGGCTTCGCAAGGACATTAGGAACGTCCAGAGATGCAGAAGGCCGGCCAGGGGCGTCCAGGAGGCCCGGAAGGCTCGGGGGACCCCCTTGCCAGGCGTCCAGGGGGCCCCAAAAGCGCCAGATCCCGGGGGTCCGATTTTCCGGGGGGGGGGGGGTCCCACCCCCCCGGATTGTAAAAATATAGAAAAGGGAATAGATGCAGATATGTGTATATATCTATATACACATATACACCTGCACATCTGTACCTACCTTTATCTCTATCTATACCTGACGAAGCAAGCCCTTTGCGGAGATCCGCGCGGACTTCTCGGCTCGGCGCCGGACCCCCCCTGGCCGCGGAGGCTCCGCGCCGATCCCAGCCAAGGCATCCGCGCGGACCTCCGCACGTTCCTGCTCGTGCCCCCGCGGGCGCCCAAAGCAGCGGGGCGCCAGGGCGTCGAGGCCGCCCTCTGGGCTGCTCGGGGGGCCCGGCGGAGGCCAGGCGGGACTGTGTTCGAGGGGGCCCGTGGAGGCCGGCTGGGACTAAGTTAGGGAGCCCACAAAGGACAACCGCGCCCAGCTATGTACATGAACACGGCCCCTCGATCCGCGAGACCGGCCGCGTAAAACGAACATTTGCGCAATGCGTACTCTCGAAACCAGCGTGAATTCATGTACATGTACGACCTTCTTTCGCTCCTGATAAGCATGCCCGGGGGAGCTGCCTGCGCGCAGCCCGAGGCCTCACCAGACGAGGCTGAGGGATCGCTGGTGTCAGGTCGGGCATGCCCCCCCCCCACAGGCGGATTTGGGGCAGTATATGCGAGAATACCCCCATGGGCGCGATGTTTAGGTCGGGCAATGTAAGATACCCCTACAATGCCCCCACATACATAAAACATCGGTTCAAACCATCGTCCCCATAGGATTTTTTGACTATTCAGCCTGAGACTACCCGGGGGGGCCTGCGGGGGCCGCGCCGGACTCTTCGGGGGGGGGGGCCCGCGGAGGCCACCCGGGGGGGAACTGCCCGTGCGCGCAACCCGAAGCCCTGCCAGACGAGGAGGAAGAATCGCTAATGGCGAGCCGCCGCCCGTTGTGGCGGCCCTCGTTGGGCAGGGGCCGACCGTCCCGGCATTCCTATAGTCCTACCACGAAATCTTCTTGGAACCCCAAAATGTTCGAAGAACAGGAACAATGTTCTTAGAACATAAACCCGGTGTGACAAACCAAGACAATCCCAACCAGAAATGTTCTAAGAACGTGTCGCGGGAGCCAGAAAAAGAATCTTAAAACATTGTTTGGTAGGACTATAGGCACGCCAAGACGCTTCGCCACTGCTTGACCTCGGCCAGGGGGGTGCGGCCGAGAACCCGCGAGGACGCCCGAAAACCTGGATTCTCGACTCTTCGACCCCCACCACTGAGTGACCACGGCCCGCGGCGGGGGAACCGACTGTAGGGCAGCCGTGCTCGCGCTC